AAGGGAGTTTGGTGTCGGAAGTGACCACTCCTTTCCATTTTTGACTGCCAGTCAGGGGCATTAAATGCCCTATAATGATGAGCCGAGGGGGAGGGGGGATTGAGCACACGCTCAGTCCCTTTCCTGTTTACTTTTTTAGCTTTTTTTATTATTTATTATTATTATATATATTTTTTTTAAAAAAAGTGTCTACACTAGTAAAGGAAAAGGAACCATCAAAATACCTGTGGGTTCACAAAGACGAAGCCAATTGCTAGTGCAAAGGCGAACTATGTTGATTTCGAGGGCAAATCTCTCTAACTCGATTTCTATTCTTGACTTAGATGATTCTGGAAAGCAAAGGAAATTGAAAGTGGACTTGTTTGAGTCAAAGAAAAAATTGAAAATGCAACAAAAACATTACCTTTTGGATGAGCACCTTAAAACCATTAAAGAGATGGACATCTATGGATCTATGGATACAACAAACTTATGCTTGGTACCTAATGTGATTATCTCGCCCAAGTTCAAAGTACCAAATTTTGAAAAGTATGATGAAACCAAATGCCCAAAGGCCCATATCACTATGTATTGTCACAAGATGGCTGTGCATGCACATGATGATAAACTCTTGATTCATTGTTTCCAAGGTAGCTTAACAAAATCCGTAGCCAGGTAGTATGTTCAATGGATAGGAATCATATTAGTTCTTGGAAAGATCATGAAAAAACATTCCTAATTCAATACAAACACGTCATGGACATGGCCCCATATAAGCTCTCTCTACAAAGCATGGGAAAGAGAGATACTAAGAGTTTTAAGAAATATACTTAAAGATGAAGAGATGTTGCTACACAGGTTCAACCACTTCTCACTAAAAAGAAACAACAATGCTTTTTATCAATACTCTATAATCACTACACTATGATAGGCTAATCAACAATGCCACCAAGAACTTTGCCGACATATTAATTTTAGTAGAAATGATCGAAAATGGAATTAAGAAAGCTAAAACCAGAGAGAACAGTGTCAATAACATGGAAAAATGAAATGCATCGAAGAAAAGGAAAAGGGAGGCATCGGTTATTACATCTAAAGGGCAATAGTCATAGGGCATCAATCTATACCATACTCCTCCCATATTCCAACCTTGCTACCCCACTCTAAATCATATTTCTCATAACTTATATCCATAGTAATCAGTTCTATAACCAACTTCTCATCCAAGAGTACCCACACCACCATTTATTCCTCGATTATTTCTAACATCCAATACTTGCTAATTGTCAATGCGAATCCATCATCTTTTGTCTCTACTAATTGAGAATCAATATCTCAATTCTGTGCCAATTAAGATAGTTCCAAATCCATCAACAAAAAATTATGACCCTAATACTAAATGTGACTACCACATGAGGGTAATTGGACACTCAACAAAGAAAGGTAGGCAATTGAAGGAAAAGCTTAAAAATCACATCAAGGATGGCACTTTGACTCTTGAGCTTATGGAACATTGGAAATCGACTTTACCATAGATTGAGCTCTTGTTGGGAAAGTTGCAGAAAACCCTCAAGTCTTAAACATCGTAAAGCATAAAACATGAATTTTTCCAAAAATAAAACTTTTTTTAAGTGTTCAAAACATGAAATCTACAAGCTCACCTAAAGATTTCTTAATTTATTCTCCTATATAAGGTGGGATTTCACACATGACATCTCAAAGTGGTGAAGCGCAAGTATGGAGTTTGGTGTGGTCTAAAATGGCACTTCTAAGTGTTAAAGTAAAATTATGGAGTTTTGTGTGGGCTAACATTGCTGGGATTCGACCTCATGCTCAAATTAAAAATATAACTCAATGGAAAAATAAACTAGCATTTAATTAGAAAAATAATCGAATCCTACAAGATTAATATTTGTGTTTTTCTTGTAATTTTCAAATTAATTATGAACATTCAAAAGTTTAAAAGTTACATACTTTATTTTAGATATTGTAATCAGGAGCCAATTAAATCCAAAAACTCTTGTGATTAAGCAAGTACTCAAAAAAGAGAAAATATTAGTCTAAAATCTTGCAATCGAAATCTTTGCTTCTTTACTTTTAGGATTTGTCAAATTTTCAGCCACTCAAGTGTTTAGCCTCTCATATTAATCCATACAGTGACCGAATAAAACTCTCTTAAATGTAAGATTTTACTTGTGCTGATAAGTTTTTTGTAAAAAAATAAAATGATCAAAATGTCTTCTCGACTCTTATTTCTGTTAGAAAAAAAATTATTTTTCTTTTCTTATTTTTCTGAAACGGCTAAGAAGTGGCTAAAGCTTAGAGTTTTAATTGGCTAACATAATATATTTATAAAGCCAAACTAAGTTGTAACCTTAGATATAATAGTTGTATTTTAATTCAATTAAGTTTTTATAAACTTAATTAATTTTTTACTTTATTTTGGTCTATTTCAATTAAGTCCAACTTAATTGATTATGCTTATTTAATCTTAATCATGTCACTTAATGTCTGTGACCTATTAAGCTTATAACATGTTATCAATAAATATGAATCCTAATCAAATATCAATTTGATAATTAATTTATATTTATAGATCATGAGCACCATCTAACAATACATCAAGGCCACCCAAATGTTAAAAAGTCAATTAAAGAATTTAACAAAGCCTTCATTGATAAGCCTTTTAGTGTAATACGGTCCCTTCATCAAATATCTCAGATATGCCATAAATCATGACTCAGTGTCTACTTATAACATTTTATATTAGTTTTCATAATTCATAACTAACCTTATGAATTTAGGAAACTAACTTTCTTCAAATGCATCATGCTTTGGCCAAAGACTTTATACAAGTTATTTGAAAATTGAGAAGAAGTGTTATACATTCCCTCATATCACTTGGGGTGATGAATTCTCTTTTAATCACTCATTCACTTTCATATGCTTCATGGCATACCCAAAAACACCTTATTTAGGCACCTAGTCTCCTCCACACTAGTATGGGTGAAACGCAAGTATGTCATTCCCCATACAAGATGACCTAGTGTCTTAAGTCCAAGGACTAATTATACAATCATCACATGAGAACATATTCCATAGACAATTGAGTGAAATACCAAAAAGAGCTCTCATAGCAAGTCATGTTCAACGAACTTGTTCTTTAACAAGCACCCACATGTTATCCTCAAGCATCCCATGTACTTTAATGTACGAGATCAATTGCTTACTTTCTAAGTAAGGAGGTTTAACATGTACCAATATTTGGGCATTATCAATACCCTATCTTGACAATACAATGACCAAGAATAATTTTAGGAACATGGCTTTGATGCATATTGATCTTATAATTCTAACAAATTTACAATTCTCTTGCAAGGCCTTTATGTTCCATGGGCTTCATTCAGTTAGTACTTAATAATTCCTTATTATTGTACTAACATGAAGGAAAACCTTTATCACATATAGTTATGCGATTAGATATGCATTACATAACAATATATATTCCTTGACCAATCCAATTGGCTCAAAGGCATATACCAACAATCTCCTACTTGCATTTGAGTTAATTGCTAACGTATCCAATATCAAACTCTTTCACTTAGCGACTATGTCTCTACTAGGACAACTCAAATTGTAATATTTGGAAATATATTCATTTATATATTTGACAATCTCCATTGTCATAATCGAAATACTAATTTAGATCACAATGAGTCTTGGATTCCATTATTATGGCTATTGTTATTACTTTAACAACTCAGAATCATTTATTAGTTCATTAAACCAATGATCCAAATATTTCTTCTTTTCTTCTTTTGTAGCCTAAACAAAAGGTTTGTATCTAATTATTGATATTATCATGCAATTATCACTTGTTTAGGAACCATTCCAATACAATTTCTCAATCATGACTTTATGTCACTTTTAACA